ATTCTAGATTTAATATTAACAAAATTATAACATTTTATAACATTTTAACCCTTCATCAGTCATAATTTTAAATCCCTCAATACACATTTCACAAACTTTGTTGATTATCTGTCACAAAATACAAGTTTAATTTTGTTCTGATTCTTTTCCTTTCTCCGAGTAGGTCTGTGAGTAGAGCTGTTGAATATGAGGTATGGAGACAGATTAATTTGATTGAGGACGGAGAAATTGTTGAAAACGAAACAAGGAAAAAAACAGAACAATAATTTTTTTTATTTTTTAAATTGTAGTATTGAGTTCTGACCTACAGGGTTGTTGGTAACCTTGGAGGTCAGAACTCAAGGATGAGACTTTGATGACGACCTGAACTCTTGACGATCTGAACTCTTGACGATCTGAAATATATTATGATTTGAAACTATTAAATTCAACTTTCTGTTGACTTTAGAGGATTTGATTTTGCTGCTCGGTCCACTCATAGTATGCGAGATAAAGAGAGAAAACAGGATTACAGGTTCGAGATACAGAGATTTATTAAATAACAAAATATCTGGCATTTTTTCGTCTTGAGTCAATGACAAGGGAGGACGGCCGAAGGGGGGGGGTGTTAGAATGTGTTGCCCCCGTTTTACATCGCCTCTTTTGTAGACCTTTTAGCTCAAAAACAAAAAAAAGGATAGTGGTCTAAAACTTACATCTTGTCTATTCTTTAGAATCCATTTTTCCCCTTATATGTAGATTCTTGTCTTTGGTATTTCATACTCCTTTGTTGGTCTATTAATGTCAAATATTTATCTAAATGAAATATTTTTTTTTACAAAGTTTGAATGCCCTACCCCCATATTAGGTTGCACAGATATAAAAATGAGAAAATTATAGATTTAGGAAATCTATAAACAGATATTTATTTCATCAATCTCGTATTTTTACAATTATCATAACTACTCATGCTGAAGAACAACAGATAATTAATAAACCAGCAAGTGTTTGTTTAGAATTGCAACTTTCCATTTTGAACTGTCTGCACTGCCAATGGCGTTCTAAATAACATCTTATATCTATTGTTTCTCCTTTCTCTTACATCATTGGATAAGTTATTACAATCATACATTTCATTCTTCTTTCTTACAAATGATGAAACCCAGAAATAAGAAAATAATAGAGTTATTGTCCCATTATTATGTTTTTATTTAATCCTCAACTTTTTATATTCATTCTCTTTCTCTTGCCATCTTTTTTCCTGAGAATAAATAGAGGAAACATAAGAATTTCCCTCGGTATGAATATTTTCAGTACCTTTGAGCCTAAAAAGGAGTTCAAAGTATACATTTCTTGTAAATGTTTACATAGTATACGCAGTACAATACAATTACTTGGACAATCTCTTTTTCTTACTGTAAAATAAACTTTCAATGGTGTCAATATGAAAAAAAATACATAGTTTAAACGTAAAAATCATTTAAATATAGAGTTCCAGGGTCCCAAAGGCAAAAGACCACAAATGTGTGAAGTACGCCTGCAGTACGGTGACAGTACAATAAAATGGCGGTTGTGCACTTTTTTGGTTGTTAACATCACTCTATATATAATCTGCTCTGTGTTTAACAAAATCAAATTGTAAAGTCATGATTTTGATTATTTTATATTTTTATCATCTGTGGGATTTTGAATAAAATAAATGGCATTGCTTGAAGCTGGATAAGTAAGAAATGTACACTGCACAATTGCCGGGTTCATGTTCAAAGGACTATTTAAAATCTAAAATTCTAACAGTTGTCTTCTTATTACATAGTTTTATTGGTCTGTCTGTAAAACCATATGAAGGGGGAAAATCAAGATTTCTTTTGACGATTTAAGAATTTAAAAAGAACTAGTCTAACAACTATCATTGAAAAATTAAGCAGGATAAAAAGATAATGTTAATCCCATGCCTTACTTACTTACTTTACTTTTGAAGAACAAAAACCTACTCTAATTTTAAAAGGGATTTCTGCTTAAATATAAAAATACAGAAACAACAATCTTCTATATATAAATTTGGCTTGTCTGTCTGTCTGTTTGTTTGTCTGTCTGTCTGTTTGTATCCAATAAACGTCAAAACGGCTGAACCGATCGGGCCCAAATTTTTTGTGGGGCATCTAGGGACCCCAGGGAAGGTTTATGAAAAATCAAAATTTCAAATATTTGTCTCCATCAAAATTCGATCGTCATTAAATTTTTAAAAATTTTGAAAATCCGCAAAATTTTTTGTGAAAATCCGCGAATTATTTTTGTTTTGTTTTACGATGTACACAAAGAGAACACGTTCACAATTAATTTAGGAGATGGGCGCGAAGGCGCCCTCTAAGGCTAGAAAGAAGGGCGCGAAGCGCCTTGAATTTCTAGTAAAAATAAATATGCAAAAGTTGGAAAAAAATCTTAAGATTTACTTTAATGATTTGATGAACGACTAGGTTTAATCAAGAAAGGAATATAAATATAAAACATTTTTCATAGCTTTATTTTTAATATTTAAGGGACTGAATGCGTAATTTTAAGTGGCACTTCATTTGCCCGATTCGCAACAGCAAGGTACTAATGCATGGAAAGTTAATTACGGTCGCGTATACTCTGCGTGCATGATGAAACCAATTCTCTCTGGAATTTGTAAACAAGAATAGATGCTTCAGTGTTCGTTTAGTATTCGAGTAGGATAAAAACATTTAATTTTGATAATTTTGAAAATTCTCATAATAGTTTCCTAAGACCAGAATATTTTATAGATTATTTTTGTGAAAAGGTATTTCATGTCAGGCTTCGACATCCGTCTTGTGTTTACTTTTCCGCCCAAAGACAATACACTGCAGTACAAAAAATGCTTACACCTCTGAAATAACTTTCCTTGCATTATTACCTTGCGCAACGGTATCCTTGAAACGTTAATCTGATCAATAATGTGGAAGATTTGTTATGCGTGTTCAATTTCCCCACTGCTACCGTAGAAAGCAATGCGCAAGTCGCTCTTGTCTCTAGTTCCTAATTCGGTCGGGAAAAAAACTGTTAAGGTACCGACAGGAATAGGAAATGCCACTCTTAATGAAAGCTCACTTGAAATTACGTCTTTACAGATCCCTTGAAACGCGCGCTTTTAGTACCACTGAAAACCAAGATGTGCACGCTCTCACACAGACATCAAGGAGTATTTTGCCAATTTATCCTTTCAACCTTCAGCTAGAAACAGACGCGTTGCATTTTTGGAATAGCTATGTCCTGGGCTACAAAAAAAGTACAAGTGAGTTGGTGAGGTAAACCCGAAGGCCAAGGCAATGCAAAACTTTAATTTTGAGGTTATCTAAGAATTTGATGACTAAGTTTCAGAGTTGTCTATATCTGAATATAGTTCAGTATGATAAATCCTTCCAATTCTAATAAATGCGTCTTTGTTAAGTTATTTGATCAACAACGTCAAGCAATGTCACTTCATCGTGTATTATTCTCTGTAAAGTGTTATTTGCAATTTAAACTTTTTATATTCATTTTATGCATTTCTTAGAGCATTAATTCTCTACATAGAATACCTCCAACATCTACAGGGAAGGGGGGCGGGGGGGGGCACAAGAAAACTTGGTTTTCATAAAAATCCAATTAAAATTTTTACCAAATCTTGCTGAATCTGACAAAGGTGGCAAAATGAGACTATTTATTAAGACATTTTGATTTTCAAAATGCCATTTTTATCATGGAGGATTTTGTTAATAGTGAACACAGTATGATGTTTTATTTTCTAAGATTTGGTTCAGCTTTGCGGATTTTCCATTATAACTCTTTTATACGAATTTTGGCTGATTTCAATAAAGATTAAGTTAAAGATATAAATCAAAAACAACATTTTGTATTTTGTTTATTTCATTAAACTTTTTTCAACTTGAAACAAAAACCTATTAAGGAAACAATGCAATATGTTTCTTCCTTCGTCTCATTGGAATGAATTATAAAAATACATTTGTATATTATATATGAACAAATATGTAAATGTAGCATAATTTACACAAAGAGGATTTAGTAAAAATATGAACATGAGGCAACAGAGTAAATCGTAATATCCAGTTTTTTCTTTTTTTCTTTCGAAAATATTTTAAATTTAGATTTGATAAATTTTTTTGACACAAAATATTGGAACAGCTATTAATGTTTGATTACGTTAGATCTACAACAAGTTGAAACTTCATCTATTTTGATCACTTTAACAAGTTAAAATTTCATCTATTTTGATCACTTTAACAAGTTAAAATTTCATCTATTTTGATCACTTTAACAAGTTGAAATTTTGAATTATATTTGACCAGTGGCCATTTGCGATTATATGTTATGCTACGTATCAGAATATCCCTGAACTGAAAATCAATTTAATGAACTTTTTAAAGAAATAAGAACAAAACATTGCTGGTAAGGCTAATTTTGTAAAATTTCAGCATTTATTTTTGAAATTACTTTTTTGATTTCTGATTTCTATTGTTTCAATATTATAATTATGTACAGGGTGTCCCACGAAACATGACAGTAGAAAAACGAATTAAAAAGGTTGCCTTCTATCTTTGAAATAATTTGCGGCATTTATACATAAACCTTATTTTAGAAGTAAAATTCTAGATTTAATATTAACAAAATTTTCGACAATGTTGTTTTTATTTAATAAAATTGAAATCTGACCGAAATTCTTAATATCTCCGGTAATATGGAAAGCACAAGAAAGGCAGACCACAATTTGAAAGTGCAGGACAAGGAGAATTTTGTGGTTATTGTTTCAAGAATCATATATGTTAAAGCAGATTGACGACTAATTCTCAGAATTAAATTCTAAGTTCAAAGAGTCTTGCCACTGTCATGTTTCGTGGGACATGGTACATAGTATCTATAGACATTTTCTAATCCAAATATCTCCAGGTTGTTATCTAAAGAATGTTCAATCTAAACTGCATCTTTATGTAAAAATAAGAAATAAGTTTTACAAAAGAAAAGTTACATTCATGTTATCATTCTGTTGGGAAAAAGAAGGAAAATGAAATTTTGAAATATAATAGCGATGAAATATATTATTTATGTTGTTAATTAGTTTCAGGCATAATCATTCATCCTCTCTTCTAAACGTTTAATTTGAAAGCAGGGTCCAAGAAACATAGATACGTTTTAGATTGACCGCTTTACGATAAATCGGCTCTGAGGTCAGATTTAATGAATAGTTGCAGTTGAACTTGGTACAGTAAGTTGAACAGCTGCTCTGCTTTAGAGAAGAAGAGGATGTTAGAAAATACATTAAATTTTTTAGATTTATGCCTGAGCCAAATCTTCCTCCTTTGCGGCTCAGAGCCGAGCAGGTTGAGGGGGAGAGGGCAAATCTTCCAGAACTACCGCAGCAAACTAGACTCCGAATTCAGGTTAATCAGAGCTCATGGAGTCAAACATTTTTAAATGTAAATGGAGGATTTTTAAGGATAATTTGGTAGCTGAAGGATCATTAGGGATCATAATATAGTTGAAGGAATTGTATAGATCTTATTGTAGCCGAAGGATTATTAGAGATCATAATATAGCTGAATGATTTGTATAGATCTTATTGTAGCCGAAGGATCATTAGGGATCATAATATAGTTGAAGGAATTGTATAGATCTTATTGTAGCCGAAGGATTATTAGAGATCATGATATAGCTGAAGGATTTGTATAGATCTTATTGTAGCCGAAGGATTATTAGAGATCATAATATAGCTGAAGGATGTGTGTGGATCTTATTGTAACAGAAAGATTATTAGAGATTATAATATAGCTGAAGGATTTGTATAGATCTTATTGTAGCAGAAGGATTATTAGAGATCATAATATAGCTGAAGGATTTGTGTGGATCTGATTGTAGCAGAAAGATTATTAGAGATCATAATATAGCTGGAGGATTTGTGTGGATCTTATTGTAGCAGAAGGATTATTAGAGATCATAATATAGCTCAAGGATTTGTGTGGATCTTATTGTAGTAGAAGGATTATTAGAGATATAATATAGCTGAAGAATGTGTGCAGATCTGATTGTAGCAGTAAGATTACTAGGGATCATAATATAGCTGAAGGATTTGTAGGGATCTTATTGTAGCAGATGGATTATTAGAGATCATAATATAGCTGAAGGATTTGTGTGGATCTTATTGTAGCAGAAGGATTATTAGGGATCCTAATATAGCTCAAGGATTTGTAGGGATCTTATTGTAGCAGAAGGATTATAAGAGATCATAATATAGCTGAAGGATTTGTATAGATCTTATTGTAGCAGAAGGATTATTAGAGATCATAATATAGCTGAAGGATTTGTATTTATTAGAGATCATAATATAGCTGAAGGATTTGTATAGATCTTATTGTAGCAGATGGATTATTAGAGATCATAATATAGCTGAAGGATTTGTATGGATCTTATTGTAGCAGAAGGATTATTAGAGATCATAATATAGCTGAAGGATCATGATATAGCTTTTTCGTACAGGGGTTCCTTTTAAGGGCAAATCTAGCTCAAATAAAAGTGGTTGTCTGTCTTTTGTTTGGAATATGAAGCGTAATATATATTACAAAAAATTTGAAAATTATTCTTTACTGATATTTTAAAAATCTTGATTAACTCTCTACTTTGTTAGGAATATGGTGTTTCAGAAGAAGTTTCTTTTCAGTTGGTTGATAAGCCAGAACTTTTAAATCTCTTCAATGTAAGTATAAAAGAAGGAATTTATTTCAAGAAAAGAGATTATAATATTTAATTTCAGAGCTGTGTAGAATTTTCCCCAAAGAACTATAAATCACTAGCAAGCATTATACTTCTCGTTGTTCAGGTACGGTGGTAGGCGATTATAGCAATTTAATGAAGACGACTTTCGATTTCAAGTTTGATTAATATCTAGCTTTTAAAAAGCATTGATACGCAAAAACTTGGAAACAAAGTCAATTTAAAAAGCTTCTCTTAAATTACTTGATTCTAAGAAATAATAAAAACTTAAATAAAAATTTCGATTTCATTATATTGATATTATCGCCTACCACCAGTTAATACAATGTGTGCCAGAAAACTAAGGGTTAGGAAGACGATATGTAAGAATTATCATGTGTATTAAATGTTGTTTTGTCGTGTCAGCAGTAGCTTGAAAATCAATTTGTTAAATAAAAAGTGTGTACACTGCACGATTTCTGTGTTTCTTATTTATGGGACTTTTTTAATCATAACTTGTATGCTTGTGTTGAATACCATACCATTATATTTTTCTGTTAAACTAAAATTGAAATTAGATATTAATAATATTAAAACAAATAATTTATTTTTGAATATTTGAAAATGTTAAAACTAACAAAATTCTTAAACAAAAGATAATTCATGCTATTTTATACGCTGATCTGTACTTGAGAATTTTTTCAGGAATATTTGAGTTTTAACTCCGTTAACCTGACCTCTACTCCTCTTGACCCTGAGTCGCTAGTTACGGCGGTCAACCTTAAGGAGTCACGGACAATTAACTATTCAGCACTCAGGTACAGTTATCATTTGACAGCCTATGCATATACACCAGCTAGAGGATTATCTTGTACATGTAGGGGTTTATTCTCTACATGTACAGCAACTCGGGGCATAAAATATTACCTACTTTTCATGTACATATACAGCAGCTTAGGACTTATCCTGAATATGTACATCAGCTAAGGGTTTATCTTTCACATTTACAATGGCTACATACTTATCCTTTACATATCCAGTAGCCAGGGACTTATTATGTACATGTACAGCAGCTAGGGTCTTATCCCATAGATTTACATTATAATAATAGTAGATCTTAAAGGGAACCCGATACAGTAGACTTATCGTAACATGTTCAACAGATCGGGACTTAACATCTACATGCACAGTAGCTAGTGGATTATACTAAATATGTACAGCAACTAGGTGTTTTTCTTGTACATGTACATCAGATCAAGGCTTATCATGGTACAGCAGATCAAGGCTTATAATATACATGTATAAATCAGCTAAAAGGGGCTGATCATGTAGTAAGAGGTAAAAAAGTGCCATTTTTCTTAACGCATATACATGTACATTGTACAATGTTCATTGTACGTGTTCAGCATATTTCAATATCAATTATCAATAGCAAAATGAATCGAACTCCAGTCAATTGTTAAAAATTTGACAACTGGCAGATCCAAATAATTTGACGACTGTCAGATACAAATATACATGTTTTTGTACATTGTACAAAACCCTAAATGAAAATCCTTTCTGTGAAATTTAATGGAAACATTGGGTTACTCCGAATTTGTTTCAAGAACGTGATCAAAATATTTTGTAAGGTTTAAAGAGAGAGATAAACATTTTCTTCTTTCTTTGAAAAAGTCTGTAAAAAAATTGTTTATATATTTCCTGTAGAATCAATTGGAGAATGTGTTGTTTAAGAAAAGAAATACGAGAAACTTCAATTAGTATTATTTGGTGTAACTTTAGAACCAAATAAGACTGAAATGTGTTTTTTATAAATCCTAATATATAAGCTACGATGTATGTAAGTTTCTATGGGTTTTGTTTGTATGTATGTTTGTCACATTTTTGTACGTCTATAATAGTGCATTCGTTACAGTGTAGGTTCTCAATGTGCGTCCGTAACATTGGCGTATCCTCATCAGGGCGTCATTATTAGTGTGTTTAAATAAGTGCGTCCTATTTGAAACAGCGATTATTACGGAAATTCTCAAAACTGATTCTTATAAATCTACGAAACTGTAATAGTGAACTGTGCTGAGTTCTATATTTTTATATTCATTTATACACAGACTTGTTTTCTTGTCATTCTGTGGAGGGGTCTCTGTCAGTATTAATGATAATAATGATAGCAATAAAGGAATAACAAGTGTCTTACATGTTCATAATTGTAAAATGTACACTGTACAGGGAGCTATAGTACGGTTACTACTGTACATATATTGAAAACTGTACAGGGAGCTATAGTACTGTTACTACTGTACATATATTGTAAACTGTACAGAGAGCTGGTACGGTTTCCACTGTACATATATTGTAAACTGTACAGGGAGCTGGTACGGTTACTACTGTACTTATATTGTAAACTGTTCACTGTACAGGAAGCTGGTAGAGTTTCTACTGTACATTTATTGTACACTGTACAGGGGGAGCTGGTACGGTTACTAATGTACATATATTGTTAACTGTACACTGTACAGGGAGCTGGTACGGTTACTACTAGACGGAGATAAACGAAGACCTGAACTTATTATTGATGAGAATGGTTGGCGACTTATTACTGATAAAACCATTATTAATGTAAGTGCATCTAATTAGTTTGATTGATTTTATATTCATCTCTTAAAATAAGTTTTTAAAAATATTTTGTTTCAGAAATTTGTTGAAGAGTGTATGGTTGAGCACTCTGATATTGTAAACAAATACTGTAGTGCAAAGGGAGGACATAGTAAACTTTATTGTCTTTTAAAGCACATTACAACCCCAATTTTATTAGTATAATACATCCTGTTTTCGTTAAAATCTCAGATTTTAATTAAAAAAATTTAAAATTTTCCGAAAATGATATCTATTAATTAACTCTTAAGGATCCTTGTGAAAATTAGTTATAAAAAATTAATCTCTTAACAGATAGCATTAACTATATAGTTAATAGGCATCCAGTTACATATCAAACCATAACAAAAGTAATCTAGCATAATTGTCAATTTTTTTTGGATTTTGAAATAACATTTTGTTCAAAATAATGTTTTCAAACTCTGTTTGGGCCCGAGTCAAGCAGATAAGGAAAACTCACTGGGAGGGGAAGGGGAGGGGAAATTAAATCAATTCCTTGGTTAAAATTCTATGATTTATTATTTATTTTGATTTATTATGTGCTGCAGGAGAAGAAAAAGAAAAATGTATGGACCAACCTTCTTATTCAGGTGAAACACTCTAAACAATCAAAATTGCCCAAATTACAGCTACGGAAAAATTTAATTTCAAAATTCAACTTCTAGCATAAAAAAATTATACGTTATCTTTTGGCAGGTACACTCCACGCCCCTCTTTGTACTTTTTATTGTTTCTTGCAAATATACCTTACTCTTCGGGATCATATGTGAGGTTCCACAAATTGGCTGGATAGATTCAGCTTTTTGACGTTTATTGGATACAAGCAAACCAAAAATCCAACTGAAAAACGGTCTGACGGACAGGGTAATTATATATATATGTTTTTTTCTGCAGGTGAACAAGGATGACCGAACTGAGAAGCTGGATATGTCAATCATGAGTCAGCTGCTACTCCAGGCTCTAGAGAAACAGAGAAATATTATTCAAGAAAATAAATTAAAATCCCCATAAAGAGTCTGTAAACGTAATTTTACGAAGAGATATGTCCGATTTACAACGATATTCTTGAAAGCCTGGTCTGATCAAGTATGAACTAGATATCCATGTTTTTAATTTTTATAGCTGATTATTTTTAATAGAGGTTTATCTCCCAAATAATTGTGCATTTCTACTGCATGAAAAGGAATTATGGGAATTAAATACTTTTCAAGATAAAAATCGACGTTGTCTGTAAAATTATTGATCAAATAGATGTTGTAAAACGGGCATCATTCCTCTCTTTAAATTGAGGATACCTTGAATTTGCAATGGCAGTCCATTTAATTCTTGGAGAGAACTTCCTAATTATTAAGTTATTTGTACTAGAATATTGTTGGTTTATGTCAGTTGTGTACTGTACTGTACTAGAATATTGTTTGTTTATGTCAGTTGTGTATTTATAAGATAATAAGAAAAATAAACTGATGGTTTTTAAGTTAAAAGTTTCCGACAATATTTTCAGATTGGATCTCAATTCTTTTTTTCTGAGATTTGCATCAAAATAAGATAAATCTTAAATAGATTCTTAACATTATTTTAAGTGCTATTTACAACGGAACCTTTTAAATCTTAATCTGCAAACATTACATTATATTGTCACAAAACAATATCAATGTGGAAGATATCCTCGTTTTCTGACTTATCGTTAATCAAAATAGAGCAACACTCTTTTCGGAGAAACCACGATTGAAAGTTATTAATTATCAAATTAATTAAAACAAAAATCTCTTTCATTTTTCTCAGACAAAATCTTTTTCATAAAAAAACATAATCAAAATAATAAGAATTTTTTTTACAGAACTTTATCCTTTTTAATTTAAATTTTGAGATTTTGAGGAATTTTAATCCATTAAAACGTCTTCATGATATGAAACTCGTTAAGTTTGTTAATTATTCTCTACACAGAGGAGCTTAGCTTCTGGAATTTGATTTATTCCCAAATAGTAAAATATATTCTTACAAAATCATCAAATATTTTACTAAACAAATACATTTTGTCCCAATTAACATAATGCTTCACTAACTGTTTTTAGGGTGTGAATATTTTCAGAGTTACCCTCTGGGGAAAAAATTTAAAATTTGGTTAAATCAAAAAAAGCTAAATTTTTCAGTTGTTGCATGCAGATTTGGTTCAGTGTTCAAAACAAAACGATTTTAAAAAAAATTTTTGTCTTATTTTAGTGTTTATTTAAAAAATTACTTCCAACCGGTGTAAAATGAAGGCTCAGAATCTTAAGGTATAATTACAAAACATATAATTACATAACATAAGTTAAAAACATATAAGTTACAAAATCAATAAAAGGAGAAAATTACAAACAGTTTGTTCATTTAAACATTTAATTTAGATTTTTTTTTGGTTTATTTGAACTTTTTTTATGTTCATTTTAACGACTAGTCGCAGCGCTTATATGAACAAGAAATTGCATTTTTTCAGGGTTAGGTTAGGTTATGACAGATTTTTAGCTGAGTACTGCGGCTAGGACAGGCTAAGGGGCCTAACTTAAAAATAGTTCAACTGAACCGCATTTGAACAATTTTTTGGTTAATTTATACTATTTTTGTGTTTAAATAGTAAATACAATGGAATACGAGCTAAAGAACATTTTATTTATTTGTCATAAAGATTGTGTAATTATATCTTGTGTAACTTATATCTTATGATACTTAATCATATGTAAATATATATTTTGTAATAATATCTTATGTTGCTAAGCCATAATGAACGATGTGAGTTAATTCGTTGAATGTGTGCGCAAATAAAATGTTGTTTTCTAAGTTCTTGTGTCTTCTTCTCTTTCTTTTTTATGGTAAATGTTTGTATGTGTTTCTTAGCGTCAGTTAGTCCCTGGCTTAATCATATTCACTATGTGTATAAAGTCCCCTGTTAGAGCCTACACCATTTTTTTGTTATTCACCCACTAGCCCTTTTTGTTATTCACCCACTAGCCCTTTTTGTCTACTATATAGTCCCTTAATTGCTGGTTTGTGTAGTTTGCAGTAAGTAGTTCCTGCAGATACTTTGTCCATAATCTGTATTTAGTCCCTCTACCCTTGTTTTCCAGTAAGGGGGTTTCTCTTATAGTCTTCAAAATTCCTGTTAGAAGAATATCATGAAAAATAAGGATTATATCGGCCTATCACAATGTGCAATTTCTTGGTCGTCAGTTTTCTGTACCCTTAAATGTCATGTTATGTAATATGCCTAAGAGGTAACATGTGTACATGTTTTGTTTTTGGAGAGAGAGGATAAATTAAATATGAAAGACTTTTTTTAAATTTAAAAAGAGAAAATTGCAGAAAATTTTTAATTGGAAATGTTGAGCGAAGCGTTAAATTGAAATGTAATTTTTTCTTGAAATGTAAAATTTAATAAAAAGCTAATTAATGAGAAGGGGGTTGGATGGGGCGAAATATTTATTTCAATTGATATTGAGATTCTCTTTCTTTCTTTCAATCTGCAGGAGGGCGTCGCACCCCCTACTAAGTTGCTAGGGGAAGGCGGCCACCCCCCCCCCCTAGTTGCGGCTTTGGGTTAGTTACATTTTCAAAATCATATTTACCGCAAAGAAATCGAAAATATCTTTGAGTTGGTGGTATTTAAAAAGTGCAGGACACTAGAAGAGTCTTGTTCTTAGTTGTGAACTCTGTAAATACAGTGGTAAGCGATTATATTAATACAATGAAGACAACTTGTTATTTAAGTTCTGATTGTAAACAAGGTTTTTTCAAATTACAAGTTTAAAACTCATTAAAGAGATCCTTTTTGAACTTGCAGCTTCTCTTGACTCTTATGCTAATGTGTATCTATGCTGTTTAACAGATTATTATAAATCAAAATTAAAACCGAAAGCCGTCTTCATTGTATTGATATAATCGCCTACCACTGTATAATGTATAAACCAAATGTTTGCTAATAAAACAATTTCATTTTTGACTTTTAATCTATTTCTAATGACCTCAGATTTATCATAGGACTTAAGCGAGGCAGTAATTCATGTTCAAATCGCATTATAGATAAATCTTGAATTCACGTGTTATTTAAATATTTGATGAATTTCTATAAGAAGTTTGTTTCTAACTTTCAGTTTCTTAGATTTCCCCATAGAGTTCACTTCCACCAGAGACCAGATAGACTCGCAGGTAGTTTCAGAATAGTAGCATACTTTTCTATACAGGGTTATACCCACAACGGACGAGACTTTAGGAACGACTGTACGGAATTTTTTCTGATTTTAATCTTAAAATCAAGGTTTCCTGCACAAATATTCATTTGTTTCTTTCTTTGACAAATCATTTAACAGTGTTGATGGCACAAACACGTAATAAATGTTCAGAATATCAAGTTCCTGCGTGCAAATCCTAGAATTATATATTCTTTATTCTATCCTAGACAAGATGAAATTATACCACAATCTTTGTAAATACAAGTAGAGTTATTTTTGTGACACCCTGGTTTTCTTTTCAAGTATTTCTCTTAGAATCAATTTAGGAACCATTGATCTTTATTTAAATTCCTGGAATTTCATTTATTTTCCAGAAATATATATGCTTGAAATATTTTTCCATCTGAAAGTTCAAACAAAAGTTTTTAAAAACGGAATATAATCTTTATAATAAAGCTCTTCGCTCATATGCATATTGAGATATGTTTTTATGTATGTATGTATGTATGTATTATGTTAGCTATAGATGGTCAAACGGCTGGACCGAATTGGCTGATATTTTTTGAGGAAACCCATGGGTACCCTGGGGATAGATAAACTAAAAATTTGGAATTCTTGTTTTCAAAAAGCGATTTTTTAAAATTAAAAGGGCAACAAAATTGCAAATTCAAAAAAAATGTATCATTATTTAAACGAAGAGAGAATGCTGAAAGATTGGTGGTGATTGCCGAGTACATTACAGACGAAAACGTCAAATTGAAAAATCTCGAAAATGAAATTCTTAATAATAATTGAATAAATTAAAATGTTTAAAATTCGGTGATGGTGATGGACCAAACCTCTGTTGAGTAAAAATGTAGATTTTAGTTCCACATTTATTGAAAATATATTTCGGTAAAATCGATAAAAAGAAATAAATGTAAAAATCACAAGAAGATAAACAAACAAAAAGATCATTCAAAATAAAAATTTGGGCTGTCAAGTGGACATAAGGAAAACGAACTCAAATTATGAGATGGAAAAGAGATAATTTACAAATATTCACTTTAAAAAAAAAATGTTTTAAGACAATTATTATTCCTTGAGATTGTTTCTTCACAAAGATTAAAAACAAACTGTGTAGATGTGTGCGTATGAGTGGGGGTATGTGTTTTTTATTGTAAACTTTTGTTGCAACCGACTAAACCACACTTATTCAGAAGATCTGAACTTGATCAGAGAAAAATTGCCATTTTTGCATCAGTTATAGGTTTGACACTCTGCACGCAGTAAAGAAACTGTGAAACAGGGTGTCCCAATAAACATGGGAATTCAGTGACGAATTCGATATCGTCTTTTTAAATAATTCTTTGATTTTGTATAGTGATACCTTCTGAGAAAGCTGTAATCTGTAAGAGTTTTGTCTGCTATGTTCACATTTTGTTTGTTTATGTTTCGACTGCATACGGTTGTACTTAGTAAAACAAGAAAATTGCAGTACACAAACAGAGTAAACCTTTCCGTCTTCCTGTTCATCTAGCGGAGACATTATAGACACATCTTTACAGTCTTTTACCCTTTTCATAAAATAAAATCTAGCAGACATAATAATATTATGGCTTTTGAAATTAGGTATTACAATGTTAATTCATAACAAATACGATATCCAATTCGTCACTAAATTCCCATGTTTTTTGGGACACCCTGTACTTGGCTTCCATAACACTTTGCGCCATTTTTCGATTTAGGGCCGGATTGGTTCAGCCGTTGTTACGTTTATTGGATACAAACAGATAAGCAAAGTTTATGTATAGATTTGATAAAGCGTTTTTTTAAGGTTAATTTTATTTACGACATAAAAGACATCTTGT